CAGACTATATTCAGATTCAGATTTTGCTGCATAAACAAATTCTAAAGTGAGTTGAATGTGGAAATACATAACTAACTTGTCGTAATAATAATTAAAAATATGGAAATATGTTTTCTAGAATGCAGGATATTCCCAAAGGTCTTTGGACTAAAGATTTTAGATTTTTTCCCAAAACATTTTCTGAACAAAAATTACTGTCTTATAAGGAAGTAGAAAAGGAGGGTTCTGTAAAGCACCATCTTTTGGGATATAGAATGTTCAAAGCTTCAAAAGTAAGTGATATTTACTTACATTATTCGATAAATTCGGTTTTAGTAAAAGCTAATGCTGAAGCAACTAAGAAAAGACAAAAATACCTTTGCCATGTATATATAGATAATTTTGGAATTGTGGGAAGAGCAAACTGTAGTTGTATGGGAGGAATAAGTGGCCGATGTAAACACATTTTTACAGTGCTTTATCAGCTTCTAGACCATCTTAGAGAGGAGCGAACTAATGTTTTGGATGAACCAGTTCCTTCAACATCACAACCCAGAACATGGAGTACTGGGTCTGATCAAAGGTCTGATCGCCAAGTTGTGAAACAACAATTTCATGACCTTAAATTCAATAAACCTGATCCAAAGAAACCTAATAAAAGAACTGCAGCAATTCAGGAATGTAGGACAACGTTTAATAGGCATCATCTAGAAAATAACCTCTCACCTATTATTATCAAAGAGTTTGCAGAATCATTAGAGAAGAATAATTTAACCATGTTTAGTGAAGTACTTGCAAGTCATAATTATGAACCCATATCCATAAAGCTTCCAAATAATCCATCAAATAAAAATGAGTGTGACAATTTAAAGAGACCAAAAGAATTGCCTCTGCCACTAAAAATTAATTGGATATGGTGCCAAGAGTATCTAAAAGTAGTTTTTTGTGAATCTTTGCCAAATATAGATTTTATTAATAATGTGAGTCTGTCTTTGGATGACTGCAGATTTTTAGAAGTTGAAACAAGAAACCAGAGTTTTTCCAGCAGAAGGCATTTAGAAAGAAAAAAACGCATCTCAACTTCTAAATTTGGTGCTATTATTAAAAGGACTATTCCAGTTACAATTCAACTGATTAGCAGAATTTGGCCAAAAGGCACAGGGTTTAAAAGTGCAATGATGCAGCAGGGTCTTATCAATGAAACTGCAGCAGTGTCGACATATAAAGATTGGAAAATATTTAGTTTGATTTTCCATGCTTTTCCATCCATAGACGCGTTTCGACCTATCAGGTCTCATCAGTATGGCTAGGAAAAGCAAAGAAAACCAAACCAAGTTTCGTGCCTGGTTGGCCGATTAGATTACTCAGTCACCATATTGCAGCGAAAATTGCTGCTTGGTGTTGAAGTTTTGTCTTAGATGGCGCCACGATCAAATTTCGACCGTTGTACTATGTATATATTGCCTACAGGCACGAAACTTGGTTTGGTTTTCTTTGCTTTTCCTAGCCATACTGATGAGACCTGATAGGTCGAAACGCGTCTATGGATGGAAAAGCATGGAAAATCAAACCAAATATTTTCTCATCAGTGGATAATAGGGTTTCCCCACGAACTGAATTTTGGTTGGCCGATTAGATTACTCAGTCACCATATTGCAGCGAAAATTGCTGCTTGGTGTTGAAGTTTTGTCTTAGATGGCGCCACGATCAAATTTCGACCGTTGTAATATAAAGATTTATACCCAAATGTTGATGTGTTCACATGTGGCCTGTGCGTCAACCCTGGAATTCCTTTTTTAGCAGCATCGCCTGATCGCCTTGTTTATGATCCTGAAGAAAACACTGTGAATCTGCTTGAAATTAAGACTTTGGTTAAAAGTGGACTCTTAGAAAACCAAAAGGTTCTAGAAGCTTCTTCAAAAGGCTCAGTTCCATATCTAGAACTGTATAATGGAAATCTACAGCTAAGAAGGAACCACGATTTCTTTTTTCAGGTTCAAGGCCAAATGGCTATTACAGGTATTGGGATTTGTGATTTTTTAGTCGACAGTGGCAGCGATTTTTTTTGTTGAAAGAATCGATTATGATGAGCGCTTTTGGATCCAACAATGTTTACCTAAGTTTACAAGATTTTTTTTTCAGTACTTTCAATAAAATCCTTTTTGCATTGTATTTCTAGTTTTTCCGATGGTTTTTCTTCTTAATTTTTCAAAATATCCCCAAAAACCTCTCAGTTGAAAACATATTGTCCAAATTGAATCTAATTGATCTACCATAGTGATTGGAACTGTTCTACTAAGTATCCTGAATATTTTAATATTGCTTATTGCTCTTTCAACATGAAAGCGGACACTTGCTATGTCTCTTGTCATTTGTTCTTCCTCAGACGAAAGCTGATTGCACCTTTCAGATAAGGTGCAATATTCAGATTCACATCAATGGACCTTAGATCATTTTGGATAGTAAATCCTCTATCAACCATTACAGAATCCTCTGGTGCTAATTTCTCAAACAATCCACTTTGAGTAATAATCTCCTTTTCACTAATGCGCTCAGGATACAAATGTGACACAAATGATATGAATCCATTTGGTGTAATACCTGCAACGAATTTTTTTCCAAAAATATTAGTTATTTAGGTATAATGAAATGTTTGTCAGTTGCCGAAAAAATGCATTAAGAACATATTTCCACTGTCTGGTAATCACAGATATAATGCCAACATCTAAATGCCAACGGGAAGCTAAGTCAGTTACCATTAAGCCAAGACGCAAACGAATTATTGTTAATAGAAGTTGAATTCTTTCAGGTACCAAACATTTTTCAGACTTCAGGTTTTTTGGTGCATTTTTACTAAATTCCAAAATAACATCTATAAATTGTAAAAACCACTGCTTATCATCAAATGTAGTGTGAAAGTTCATAAAACACGTCTCTTCTAATATTTGATTTGCTTGACTTTGCAATGAACTTTGTTTTTCTATACTTGACACTTGATTTTCTAATTTCCAAATGTATTTTTGGTTCAACTTAAATCGCTCCGCATCATATTTTTCAGGAATATAGGCATAACTGTGTTCCTTCATGATTGCATCTTCAATGCTAAAATGGAGCTGCAAACATAAATCAAATCATCTTAGTATAATTTAATAGGTGCATATCAAAGATGAGGTAGGTATGTGTATACATAGGGTTTATGGTAAGACAAGGGTAGACCATAACTACCTAATTTTTTTAAAAAGTTTACACAATTCTTTTGCAGAAATACTATAAGATATTTAAACAGGTAGGTATAGGTTCTCTCAACAAAAGCATCTAAAGTCTGACTATGAGTACCTATAGTATTTTTAATACCTATTTAGAATAGCCCTATCCTTATTTATCAATCACGAATCAGATGAAAAAAAAAATTACCAACAAAAACCAACGTCGATTACTAATACGTCACTTTCATGTACAAATAGCAACAGCAACTTCCTAACCTAATTTTATTTGTGCGTTCAAGAAGCGACATACGTTTAGTCACTAGAACGACTGGTACTTCTAAATAGGTATTAAAAATTCTATACTTACTTTCTGGCTTGTGTTGTTCACAGAAAAACTGTTTTCGAAGAGAACCTTCTTCGCATGTTTTTACAGAAAACAATTTTGTAATCACATTGTTCTTTGATTTTGATGATTTTTTGCATATGTACAAGTATGACCACCACTGTATCTCCTCAAATACTTTGAAGTTAAGGCCCTGGATGTATTATTGTATTGTGCAAAAGGGTCTCCTCACTCTCCTCCTCCTCGAACATATTACCAGTGGCAAGACTGGGAACTTGGGAAGTGGCAGTTGAAATGATAAATGAGAAAATCTAATCCAAACTTGTTTGTTTGTCATTGTGACAGTTTTGGATAGGCTGACTAGTCAAGGTGCTGTCAAACTTAAATTTTTCCCCTCGTTTTTATTCTAATAGGTGACTTATGAGTTAGCTATCTTTGTTTAGTGAATGGAAAATGACAATGACCGACATAGCATGGTGAATCTATCGGTAAAATTTGAGGAGGATAAAAACGCAGAGAAATGTCCGCCAAGAGGCACACAAACCATTTGTTTGCTTGTCAAAGTCACGTGTTTTGGATAGGCTAATAGAATCAGAGAGAGAAAGTAAACAAACAAAAAGGATAGCGGCGATCAATCATAGGTGAGTTCGGCTTGGCAAAACGAAGTTGGAGTGGATAAAGAGCAGTTTCATAGTCACGTGATCACAGAGTGAAAAGAGTCAAATGGTTAAGCCGAACGCATCGCAGGGAGCAAGTTACCGCCGCCCGCAAATGCCGTGGGCGTTTGCGCAAAGATGTTCAAGAACATTTAATTTTATTATTAAACAATAAACAATTGTTCCCAGATGAAAGAATCTAATTTAAAGTAATATAAAAACAGATATTTACCTTAGACATTTACTGCTTTTTCCTTGTATTAGCATTTTTTCATTATTAAGAACAAGATTATTCCCATCACAAACCGAAATATGTGTTTTTGCGGATATTTTGGGGAGCAAAGCATTTTTTCTACAAGGAGCCCCAGGAGGCAACCAAGCAAGCAAAAAATCTCTTCTTTGAACTCTTTAGGTTAGGATCGTTAAAATAGTGAATAATCGAAAGCTTAAATTTTACCGCCTTTTGGGAATATAGGAATTGCGCATGCCCGCTCCTCGAGCTTCATCTCTCGAGGTGGTGCTTGTGGAGTTAACTCTTTTCACTCTACTTGGCTGTACCCGAACGATGAGGAGCTTGCACTATTTGCTCCCAGTGACGTGACCCGAACGATTTTCCAGTTAAAAGGGTCAAAGGAGTCAAAAGAGTTGCCAAGCCGAACTCACCTCATGTAGTTACTTTTTTTTTAAGTTGACAGCCCGCTAGTAATTTTTTTTTTTTCTTTTGGCAACTATGTTCGCGCACCGCAATATGGCGTCCAAACAAAAGGTCAATTGAAAACGTCAATTTGAAAGTTTCATTATTTTGTCATCTCATAGGAAAAACTGTGAGGAAAAATGCCAAAAGGAAAAGGAACATGGCATACGCCGTTAGCTTCCATGAAAAATCGGGAAGAAGTGATGGGCAGAATCGAGAACAAAGGCTGGGTATGCAAGTAAGGAAAGCAGATATTTAAAATATAAAAGAAAAATTTTAGAAAACAGAAAAAATGAGCCTGAAACCCGAAATTACATATTTCAATACCGTATCCTCGCACGTGCCTTTGTCGTTGTACGATCAGTACTTTGCCAGCACCAAAACATTTCCCTTGTGGGACCCGAAAAAGCCGAAAGACAATAGCAAATACCTACCGAAAATACGCGAGTATATATACAAACAGGTGAATATTTCAGTTTGTAATCTAATTAGATTTGTATACATTATTTTTAGGAGAAAAACAAACCGGTACCGGCACTCACATCCTATACATATGGATTATCCACTCTAACGTTTTACGACGAAATCGAATCTGCGTTCAAAAGATCGTGCGCCACCAACGACTTTTATCGCAGACGAGGAGTTATGGATCTCGACGAAAAAGATCCACTTCGATAAAACAAAATGCATTGAAAATTCTGTTTTAATATACGAGACTTTGTTTTCAAAACTTTCACTTTGAAGAAAAGGAAATGGTCGAATAAGGACAAACATAACAATGCCGATTTATTTTTGTCCTTATCAGTTTCTACATAATCAAAATATATTTTTCATTTTTCCTGTTCCAGTTTGACATAAGGACGATGTTAGTGGAAGCTGTTTCATTGTTATGACACCTGTAGATGAAAATTAAAAAGGGTATATTACATGAAATCTGCTTCTATGTAAAATTCTAATTAGAATTTTACATAGAATCCAAATATGCAATCACATACAGGGTGTCTCATTTAAAATAAGCAAGTTGATATCTACTTCCGCTATAACCGGAACTGGCACCATCTTGAAAATATTTCAGCCAGATTGCCCCTATTGACATCAGTATACTGTCAAATTTTCAAAAATTTTCTGCATACCTAATAGTTTTTCAGATATGGATCAATTAGGTTCATAGTTCACGAAAGCCTATATCGGTTGGTTATACGGATTATTCTAGTAGAGGAATACAAACCCTAAAAATTTCAGTCCATTTGGACTTTAGTTCCTGAGATCCGGATACTGAGCGGGAGCGCGGGTAGTGGGCGAGGATACTATTATAAATAGAAAGCTAAAATTTTCAGTGAATATTATCCCAGTAGAGGACTACAAACTCTGGAAATCTCAGCCCATTTGGACTTATGGTTCCTAAGATCCGGGTAATGAGCTGGAGCGCGGGTAGTAGACGGGGATACTATTATGGATAGAAAGCTGAAATTTTCAGGAATATTATCCTAGTAAGGGTGACGCTCACTAGTACGCAGCGTGGCGGAGCGCAAGGCAGCGTGGCGAAGGAGATTTTTTATAATACATTGTTTTAAACGGGAATACGTTCACTTTTCGGAAAAGCACAAGTGGGCGTACTCCCGTTTAAAACAATGTATTATAAAAAATCCTCTTCGCCACGCTGCCTTGCGCTCCGCCGCGCTGCGCTTCAGTGAGCGTCACGCTGTCAAGGACTAAAAACAATGAAAATTTCAGCCCATTCGGACTTAAAGTTTCTGAGATAAAAGGTTGTCGCTCACTGGAGCGCAGCGCACGGCAGCGTGGCGAAGAGGACTTTTTAAATACATTGTTTTAAACGGGAGCACGCTCACTTGTCGGAAGAGCACTGATCATACCATACCAGTAACCAGCGCCAACTCGCGATTATAAGCGCGAAAAATTAATGCATGTTCTCAAATCGGCTAGTACACAGTAAAAAGCAGGTAGAGTACTTGCTTTTTACTGTGTTCTAGCCGATTTAAAAACATGCATTCATTTTTCGCACCTATAAATAAGGGCGAGTCGGCGCTGATTACCGATAAGCGGAAACCAGGGCCCGGATTCCGAACCCACGATTCGATAGTATCGCACATATAAAATAGATAGACGATACTATCGAATCGTGAGTTCGGAATCCGGGCCCTGCTTGCACTATGTTTGTACATATAGATAGAAAGCTGAAATTTTCGGTGACTATTTCACTAGTTTTACACTGGGAGAATGTCATAGGAACGGCCGGTTTCCTATTGACTAAACTAAACTTCTACCTGTTCCTACCTGGACAAAACCAACATGATGGTTTTTCAGCGACTATTTCACTCAATGAACTATAGCTAAAAACTGGAATGTGCACACATTGCCATATCTGCCACAAAAATGAAGCCATGTAAGACAGATACCACAAAGGGGAATGTTGTTTTTTTCTGTTGCTCGCTGACATATGACGTTTTCGAAAGTTTTGTCATATTTCCCTTCACAGGTTTCATCAATAGGGAACTTGCATGTGAACTAAAATTTTCCAAATTTGTTTTAAATCGATAGTTTATACTGCAAAACATTTATATGACCGGTTTTTATCTAACTAATACCGCCCTTGTTACACAAAAAGTAATATTAAATTTGAAATAAAAAATTTCCCGCCAAAACAATATTTCCATGATGGCTACCTTTTTTGACATCACGATTCTGTAAACAAACCTGTCAATAGGGAACTTGCAAGTAAAAAAAAAAGATACAAAAACAGTCCTTTACAATATTCTTCATCCATTTCGACAATTTTCACAAAAAGCACATTTAAACACACTTGAATAACACAAAAATAGCACTGCGTCAGCAGGAGTTCGTTAACTACGTATTTGTTGTTTACAAAATCTTAACGTCACAAACGCTGTCATATTGAGATTTTGTGTTTTCGCGCCAAAGTTTTTGATTAGAATTTCAATAATTTTTTTTTTCTACTTGCGTGCGCAAAGTAATCACTTTGCACACTCATTTGCGTGCGCAAAGTTGAACTTTGCGCACGGAAACTCTTTGCGCACTCATTTTTGCTACGCATAATTACCATAGTTATACTTGATTTTTCAATGTTTTGATGGTTTTTGAATAAACTAATATTCAAAATGAAGGGTTTTAGTTGAACTTAGCGGTTAGTTAACATTATGTTTTCTATCAAAGGTGTCCAAATTGGACCAGCCTGTACTGCTAGGAATTTGTAGAATTTTTGATATTTGGGAGACTCATGAAAATATTCTAGCTGGTATTCTAAGAATTCCAGAAGATGTTAAAAGATTTTTGAGGATTTAATTTAAAAAGATATTTTGAGGAATTCCAATAGATTTTAAACGATTTTTGCAGATTTTGATTTGATTGATTTTTCTAATATTTTAACAATTCAAAGTCTACTTTTTCAAGATACTAGTAGAAAAAATATTGTTCCTAACACTTGCGCAAAGTGTCTTTCCCGCACTCAAAGCTTATCCGAACTCCGCTTCGCGTCGTTCGTCTAACTGCTTTTTCGTGCGGGAAAGTATCACTTTGCGCACTTGTTAGGAAAATGACTATTTTCGTACAACGTATAAATTAAAATGGAAAAAAAGAAAACTATGTGATAACTGATCACAAGAAGTATCTAAAAAAAAATAATTTGAGAAATATGAAAATTCCCTATTGGAATACGTGTTGGAAGCAATTTTCGCCATTTAACATAATGAGTGCGACAAAAACAGGTATCCCCTCCGCAGCAGCCGCACTAGGCTTCACGTTCGTCCTTATGTGTTAGCATTCCAGTTTTTGGTTATAGTTCATTGATTTCACTAGAGTGTTTTAAGCCGGCTACAGACGGTCCGGCACGCCTGTCAGTTTCAACTGAACAGTTCGCCTGAAGGCCGGTTGCCGGATGGACTGATAACCCTACAAATGTTCAGGCGTATCTGATTCTTCAGTCTCAATCATCACGGCCTCTACTGACGACGCGTTATAAGCACTTTTTGGTTTAGTCAGTGGCGCACCCAGGGGGGGGCCATCGGGCCAAGGCCCCCCCCCAGGCCGCCCCTCCAAAACTTTATTTTTAGGTATAAAAACATGTGACACATTCCACACCTCAATTTTTTTTTCTTCAGATTTTCAGTCACAAGCCACAACCTATTTAGCCCCCCCCCCCCAACATATTTTCTGGGTGCGCCTCTGTTCCTGGAAAAAAATCAAAAATTAGACCACAATCTGTATCGTAAAATATCACTAAGGCGACGTTCCGTAAGTTAACCAAGATTCTTGGTTTTTCCGGTTCCCGTTCCGTAACCTAACCACTCCCGAAATCTGGTTAGGTTATGAAACGCGGTTCCACACATAAACCGCATTCTCAGGAACGAGACTGTCACTATAGACGAACTGCTCCATACCAATCGGTAACTCTGGTTAAGATACGGAATGCCGCCTTAGTGTCTCTTTGAGATTAAAAAATCGGAGATCCGCTATCTTTGGCTTTTTTCCAATCAAATTTTGGTATGTTTAATCTAAAAAGCTTCTGGATATTTTTAAAAAAATCTTTATTTTCCAAAGTTTCCGAGATTTCTAGGAAAAAAATCAAAAATTAGGCTATAATCTGTATTGTAAAAATATCACTTCTCTGGGAGTGAAAAATCGTAATTCCGCTATCCTTGGTTTTTTCCTATCAAATTTTGATATGTTGAAGCTAAAAAGCTTCTGGATATTTAAAAAAAATCTTCATTTTCCAAAGCTTCCTAGATTTTTAGGAAAAAGATCAAAAATCAGGCCACAGTACCTATGTATTTTAAAAATATTACTAGTGTTTCTCTGGGATTAAAAAAATCGTGACTCCGCTATCTTTGGTTTTTTTCTAATCAAATTTTGGTATGATAAAGCTCAAAGTCTTCTGGATATTTGAAAAAAAAATCGTCATTTTCCAAAGTCTTCCCAGATTTCCTGGAAAGTGACGCACCCAGGGGAGAGCCCCAGGTCGCCCCTCCCAAACTGAATTTTCACGTATAAAAAAATGTAACAAATTCAGGACGTGGCACTTTGACTCCTCAATTTTTTTTTTTATTTTCAGTCACAAGGCACAACCTATGTAGGCCCCCCCCAAACATATTTTCTGGGTGCGCTACTGGGTTTAGTACTAGTATACATATTTGTGAGAACAGTAGAGTCCGTACAAGAACGATCGATTTCCTTCCATTTTCTTACCAGTTTCTTGCCATGGTCGTGGAAGTTTTTCGATTTGGCTTGGTGCAGGCACGACTCGCCATGATAAATAGCGATAAATTCCGCCAAACACCTGTTTTCTATTCCGCGTGACATGGCGTAAGCTCACTATTCACTACTGAAACTATGTGAAATGATAGCCCAACACCCGACAGGCGGACAGTGCCATAAACACGTTCAGACTTGCCTTTGGGTACGTGAGGCCGGCCGGATGAACGAACATATTTTTGATTTTTCTCCGGCCACCTGAACAGTCTTAACTGACAGATCGTCCGGAATATATACACGCTCAGGCGACCGGCCTTTAGTCGGACTGTTTAGCAGTGATGTGCCTGTAGACAATGTCAACGTAAACAATTGATTGTCTACGCGTAGACAATTCGAATTGTTTACACATTGTCTACATGCGGCGTAAACAAAAACTTATTTTAAAAAATTCGAAAAAAAGTTACAAAAGTTATTATACTATCAGTATCACTTCGATATCAGCATTCACTGATTATAAAATATCAGGAAAATCAATAATAAAATAAAAATAATTAAAAA